TCTTAGTGTACAGTACTGTGATATACAGTGGACCCTTGACATTGAGCACAGTTCATTCATGAGGTCTGGTTAAACTCACGTTGGTTGTAAGTCAGGACTATTATTCCCATAAGAAATAATGGAAATAGGTGTAAATGCATTCTGAACCTCCCAAAGCACCCCTTAACTAACATTTTCATAACAAAAAGTATTGTATGATGTGTTTAATTTACCAGAAAAACCACTAATTTTCCTAGTCTGTTCACCAAAAACTTATAAAATGTACCTCATTTACCATAAACAACAATTTCATGCTGTATTTTCACCATTCAAGTTGACATTTTTGGCTTTCAGGAAGGCAGTATGAAATGGAAGCTGGAATTGTTTGGAAGGGTAGTCTCCTTCCAAAAGAACCTCAGCAATCTAGCTATCTGGTATCCTTTCTCTCCGTGGGACAGGCCCTAGCCCACTAGGACCTGCTTCTGGCTCACTAGGTCTCAGCCTTTTCAGAACTAACAATTAGTCTAAAGTTGTCCATTTTTGTCTTATTTTTAGTGCTTTTCTATATTATCACATGATATTGTAATTAAGTAAGTGAATGCAATGATTGGCTTTTTCTCTAGGTGGGTCTTCTCTCCAATGTTTTTAACTGTCCAATTTTTCAGGATTGTCTTTATTTCAGAATTTTGCTATGTTGATTGTTGATTCTTCTCCTCCTTTTTAGAAAGCTAATTAGCTGCAATTTCCTGTTGCTTAGCCTGAAGTTGCTGAAGATCCTCTATAGACAATTCCTCTGAGAATTCCTCCACCAATTCCTCAACAACACCACTCTTTACTTGCAAGCCTATGGACTCTCCTCTCCTGACAGTGTCATCAACTACAGTATGAATTAAAGGCTCAGGCTCTTCTATGCAGTTTTCAAAGTCTCTCTCATGTATAATTTTAGGCTAGACTCTCTCCCAGGTAGATCTCAGTGTCCTTTTAGAGAAAGGATGTTGTTGTAATGTTCCTACCAGAATAAGAGTTAAATCTGCATTCTGAGTATCTGGAAGCATTCCAGGAACAGTTTCTTTGGTGTATAGCTTCTTAAAGTTAACCTGCTGGTCCATAGGTTGCAGTAGAAGAGAGTATTTGAGAGGAATTCAATTGAGAGTCATGGGAATTCTTCACTCAAATCTCCCAAATCTCATATATGAACAGGAGCATTGTACATGATGAAAGCCATGAGCATTAGATTTTTTTTTGTACTTTAGATTTTTCTTAACAGAGGGACAGATGACCTTCCTGATCCACAGAAGAGAAAATACTCTTATTACCCAGGCTCCTGTGTTAGGCCTCCAAATAACCCACAGCCTATTCTTTATGACTTTGTTTTCTGAACATTTACTCTAAGGTAATAGAGTGGTAAACATTATCTTGAGGTCACCCCTCACATTAGAACATAGCAATAAGGCTAGCCACCTTGTGGCCTGGCATTTTATTTTCTTCCCATGTAATGTATATTTTCTTGGGAATTTTCTTCCAGAAAAGGCCAACTTATCACAGTTGAAAACTTGAGTGCAATAGCCATTTCTCTGGGTCATCATTTTGAAGTATTGTATGTAATTTTCAGCAGCCCTTCCATCAACACCAGGTGCCTTACCATGCCTAGTTATTCTGTGATCTGTTATTCTCACTTTACAATTGTGAAACCATCCCCTACTGGCATGAAATGTTTCATCATTATCACTCTTTAACAGATTTTCCTTTGCAAGGTCTGAATTTATAGCCCTAGCTTTTTCTTTCTTCTTCTTTTTTTTTTTTAATCGGTACCGGGGATCGAACTCACGACCGCCTGCTTGCAAGGCAGGTGCTTATGCCACTGAGCTAAATCCCCAGCCCCCAGCTCTAGCTTTTTCAAAAATCATAAACTCAGATAGATAATAACCTGTCACCTGCCTTTCATTTTTCCAAAGTAGTAATTGGCTTTCCACCAAGTCTAACATTGTTGATTATGATTTAAAAATCTGAGTAACAACTTTAGCAATACTGGCTTCCTTATACTAATCTTTTCTCCATAAGATTGTCAAGAAGGTGGATTTTGACATGCCATATATACTAGCAACATTGAGCACACAAATGCAACTTTTCTCCACAGTTTGCTTCTTTTTTATTGTGATTTCTTTCCTTGTCTTCCTTTTCTTTTCTCTCTCTCTCTCTCTCTCTCTCTCTCTCTCTCTCTCTCTCTCTCTCTTCTCTCTCTCTCTCTCTCTCTCTCTCTCTCTCTCTCTTCTCTCTCTCTCTCTCTCTCTCTCTCTCTCTCTCTCTCTCTCTCTCTCTCTCTTTTTTCTTTTTCTTTTTCTGGTACCAGGGATCAAACTCACCACTGCGCACTGCAAGGCAGGCACTTATGCCGCTCAGCTAAATCCCCAGCCCTGTCTTCCTTTTCTTCCTTAGCTTCTTTTCTAGTTTTTTGAGGCCATTTTGATAATAGCAGTCATAGCAATTATATAAAGTGCTAACCAAACTAGTCCACAAACATGCCTCTGAGCTCAGACTGATGCTTATAAATGCTTACATACACTTTTCTGACATTGTGAGTATTTACAGCTACAGGCTACATTTAGGTCATAACTCAAGACTTTGGTTATAAGTGAAACCTAAAATTCCAGTCATAACCCAACTTGTTCATTATGTGAGCTCAGTTACAACTCCAGGGTCCTTTATATAACAGAACGTAAAATCTCCCTGCTATACACTACAACCAGCAAAAAATCAGTACTGTAATAAAGAGTACCCAAAAAATGCAGAGGCTCTGTCAACAATATGCACAGAACTGTACAAAAAAGATTGGTCCCAATTCGAAGTGGCTGATCTTAAATCAGAAAGAGTGTGCCTCTGGTGTAAGTCTAGACAGTAATTAAAACAAGTAGTTCATTAAACAAGGAATATCTGTATTGATTTTGGTGTTTCTCTCTGGGATATTCTTGAATATTTCCTGAACTTCTTGTTTAGCATTCATGTCTCCTAAGTTGGTCTTTTTCATTAAATGCCTTTAATTCTACATCTATTTTGAAGGATAGAGTTGCTGGATAACTTAAACTAAGTTGGAAGTTACTCGCTTTTAGGGCTTGAAATACTTCACTCCAAATTCTTTTGACCATTAAGCTATGTGATTTTTTTGTTTTTACTCTGCTTTAAAATGTTTGTTGTTTTTGGCTAGGAGAAAATTTAATAAAGATATACCTAGGTGAGTTTTTTCATTATAGAGTTAGTATATTATCTAATCCTCATTTCTACTTTTAACATTTTTTGATGTTTGCAAAATTTTCCACTATGATTTTTATAAACAGATTATTAGTGCCATGTTATTTTCTAGTTTTTCTTGAACTCAGATTGCATTAATTGATGTTTAGTGTTGTTTAGTGTTATCTTTTCTTCTCTTTTGTTGTCTATTTGAAAACTACTGAATAGTTTACCATATTGTGGATTTCAATCAGAGTATCTTTACATTGCTCATTTCTGGAGTTAGGAATTTTTATTTCAGGTAATTCTACCTGATATCATCTTGAGAATTCTGTATTTTTCTTGAATGTATCATTCATATTTGGAGCTGCTGTGGTCAGCTTGTCTAATCTATTTACTTCCTCTGAATCAACCTTGAGCATACTGAGTGATAATGATGTGTACTTTTGATTCATTTATTCTTTAAACCATCTGGTTTTATGCATCTATAAAATTTGTGTAGAGTTCTGCTGTCTGATATTTTTTTCCTTTCTGTATGTGCCCGTTTGCTCTGCTTTTGGGGATGTTGAGGATCTTCAGTTGCCTTGCTTCCCCGTGCACTAATGTATATATATATATCCATTTTATACTGTGATCTCCAGGAATTCCATGTATTGATCTAGAGGGAAAACAAGTTGTTATTCACTTGTATGTTACCTTGAGTACAGTAGTAAATTAACTGACATCATTGACATCGAATGACAAGTGAATATTGACAAATATAGGAACCATTCATAGATATTCATAAGCAAAAGATTATGATTTTAGTGAAAGAAGACCATTCATATCTTAGCCTATTATACTTCATGTAACTAGTTTCTGCTGGATGTAGGCAGCAGTATCAGAGCTCAAAATACTAGTATTGTGTCTTCTTTTTCAGGGCAACCCATTCTAATGATTTTATCTTGAAACCTAGCCTTCCTCAATAAAATACTGGCTTTGGGATTCTACTGGTCTGATCTCAGTCCTCCCAAGGGATGCTAAGAGATTCCTCTTTACTACTTCCCTTTTCCAAATCTATCTCCTAAGTTTTCTCTGGCTCATCTCTTTTGTAGTGTAACACTTCAGTCCTTAAGCAAAACTCTCCTGTTATCTTTAATCATGTGTCTGCTGTCACCTCTGCTGTCATGTGCTAAGGAGATCCCACAGGCAGCTGTTGATGTGCAGTTGTGGGTAGGATGCTTGATCAGTAGGTCTTGATATTCTCCCTCAGCAGAGCACAAAGGCCCCAACCTGGACTTAAAGGTGACATATTGGATGGTCAATCATGAGGCTGTCCCTGACCTCAGCATGTGAATCACAATGTGTGGCTGACAGTGGACCCTTGGTCAGTCCTGGAACCCTCCCTAGGCTGAGTGAACAGCCCTTACCTGTGATGTGAGGCATGATATTCACTTGGTTTATTTATACCCCCATATTTCTTTTTCTACTACACCTTAGAAGTTTTTATATTTCTATAACAAGCATTCTATGTAATTGAGCTATAAGATAATCTCTACCTTAATCTAATTTCAATGATATTCTCCAGTAAAAAAAAAAAGTTCTTCAGTAACATTTTAACTTACCATTCATGAATTTTACTTTGTATTTAATTAAAGTTTTTTCTATGAAACCACTTTCAACTTTCACAGTGCTGTCTAAATATAATCAGAGGGGGAAGTAATCTTTTTCCTAAATGATAAGTTTAAAAATACTGATATTTTTCTATGATCTGTCAGAATAAGTCATTAGATTTTCATATACATAAGTGGTTTTTTTTGTTTCCTTCAAGTATGACTTAGCAGTCTCCTATGAGCGTTTCTTTAGAGAGAGTGCAGAAATAAAATTACATTAAACCAGAAGGAGAACTAGATTCTCATTCTTCTATGTATTTAGTAATGAGTTCCCACTGGCATCAAAATTGTTATGTGACAAGCACTTATAGAATGAGAATTAGTATTTGATGACTAAAGCCTGAAGTAAACATTTGTAGGAGTCAGCCTTATTTCAACTTTTTATGAGTAGAAAAAAACAGTTCGTTTTGTGAGCCTCACTCTTCTTCCTGCAAATATATTTCTGATGACATAGAAGGCAGTGACCTTTGAAGATGTGGCTGTGACTTTCACCAGGGAGGAGTGGACTTTACTGGATCTATCCCAAAAGATGATCTATAGAGATGTGATGTGGGAAAACTTTTGGAATGTGGCTGCTGTAGGTAAGGAAGATAACATTTTCACATTTATTTAATGAGACAGTATTGATTGTTCCTCATCAGTGTAGTTTCTTAATTGGACTGTGGAAACATTTTGATGAATTTTCCAGATATGGTCACATTATATGATGAATCAAATGGAATATAATACTTTTCATTAGTGTATTAAGTTATCATATTTCCTTTTTTTTTAATTTTTATTTAAAGAGAAAAGAAAAGAAAGAAAAAAAAACAGTGAAGGGGTACAAGTTATACAGATTTACAGAATAAAAAAATGCGCAGTAGGAAATCACTAGTTAATGTATTACATATTGCCATCTTAGAAATAATTGTTCAAGTCACAAAATTAAAGCTTGTAGAGTGGACATTCCACCAATGATACTGCAAACAGTTCTGTTCAATGATCCAATAAAACTCTGTGATATCATTTTCTATCTTATACTTTTAAATATACATGCAGTTATATAGTTTAGAGCACTTTCTTTTCCTCTCTTTTGTACAGTGACTATTACACATTTTGGGTTTCATTGCTCCCACGGTTCTTGTTGCTTTTTTGGAAGAGAGTAAAACCAAATGTGACATAACAGAACAGAATCGGTCAAGTCAAAAGGGTGGACATAATAGATAATATAAAAACATAATACAAGGTGATCAACAATGGTTACCCTAATGCCTCCCGCTATTTCTAATAGAATTGCCTATATCATTAGTTGTAATACAATTGAACAAAACCGTAAAGAATAAAACCGACAAAACCAAAACATTGGAGACATTGTAGGTCTTCAAAAGTAGATAAAAGTCAACGAGAATGGGCGTTATAATGAATCTCATTATCTTCTCAGCTGATGCCTAAACTTTCGAACCTGATACTATCCAGCAAAACAGAATATAGGAACCTCAGTCAAAAACAAGATGGTGAGAGTAATACAGGGCTTCAAATCGAGATAATAGAAAGTCAAAGTGGGTTACTATATTATATCCTGCTATATTTTTCCCTGTAATTAAATGGATAAAAATAAAAAAGTAAATAATGGAGTGGAGATTGAGAAAAAAAGAGGGCATAACAGCGAAACAGGGCAGATCAAAACATAACCATTTAAGCAGAATAGTGTTTCACCACCAGCTAATCCTGACCCCAAAATAGTTACCATATTGACTCCCTCCCTGAAGTCCTTGAGTAAAACTTCATATACTGTAGCATTAAGTATATCAAAACAATGTAAATCCATTTAAGAGAATGACAGCATTATAGAGTATTTAGAATCGACTAACAGAAAATGAACAATGGTCTCTGTATAATCTCCTTGTCTTTAAAAGGTTTTTTCTTATACTATCGTACATAGTACAATCCAATAAGATACAACCTGTTTAGACCATTGGAGACAGAAGAACAAAAGCTAGATGAGACTTCAAAACAAGATGGTACTAAATCAGCATTACCTATTAAGATGTCATTTTCTCCAAAAAAAGCTGTGCCTATCATCCAATCTTCTCTGTCTCATTTCTGTTGAGCTCTTTTTCTGTCAGTAGCTGTCAGTTTGTCTTCTTCGTTTTGTTCTCTGCTCTATTCGTTGTGGCCTCCCCGCCCCTATTTCTGGGTTCTTTGTATTTTTCTTTTTTTAGAATATCCTGCAATACTTTCTGTAGGGTTGAATTGGTGGTTGCAAATTCCCCCAGTTCCTCTTTATCTTGGAAGCACCTCGTTTTTCCATCAATTTCCAGGGACAGTTGTGCAGGATATCTCAATCTTGGCTGTAGATTATTATCTTTCAAAGCTTGAATTATTTCTCCCCATGCTCTTCGTGATTTGATGGTTTGTGAAGAGAAATCTGCTGTAATTTTGATGGGTCTTCCCTTGTAAGTGATCTGTTTCTTGTCTCTTACAGCTTTTAATATTCTGTTCTTGTATTGAATTTCTGGAATTTTTATTATTATATGCCTGGGTGTTTCTCTGTTAGGGTTGTAGGTAGCTGGGGTCCTGTATGCCTCATACATTTGAGTATCTTTACCTTTTGCTAAATTAGGAAAATTCTCCTGGATTATTTCTGTGAGTAGCTTTTGTAGTTCACTTGTTTGTGTCCCTACTTCTTCTTTTATGTTCTTAATCCTTAAGTTATGGCTCCTCTTATCATCTTCTTGTCTTTGTATTATTGCTGTGTGTTTCTTTGTTATTTTTAAGAAGTTTTTCATTTCATTCTCCCATGTTTCAAGTCTGCCCTCCAATTCAGATAGTCTGTCCTTAGTTTCTTTCAAGCTGTTATGCCAGTCTTGGGTAGACTTCTTGATTTCTTGATAGTCCCTTTGCACCTGCTTCACATACTCAATGCTTTCTCTGTTTTCTCCATCATGCAATTCTCCCCTCTTTTTCTGTTCTTCCACTCCACCATCTGCTTTTTCCTGGGTGGTGCTTAGCATTTCTCTAACTATTCTGCATACTTCTAGCTTCAGGTCATTGATAACTTCATTCCTGAATTGGTCTATGAGGCTTTCTAAATGGCGCTTAATGTATATTGGTACAGTGTCCACTATTGCCTGATTCTCAGGATTGGGGGTCGAGGAGCCTTTTTTGTTGCTTCCCTTCCCCATATTTTCTGTTCCTTATAAAATGTAATCTTACACAGGAGGCCCGGCTTCCCTGCCTGTCAGCTACAGCTTCATCGAATTGCGCTGGCTAGTTGTTCCAGCTCACCGCTGCGCCCCAGGGAGTTGCGGAGGAGGCAGCCTACGCAGAAGTCGGTCGCTCCTCCGGGCCAGCGTCAGGCTCTGGGATCTGGGCTAGGCCAGCCTAGGGAGTCCGCGAGCAGCGTCCCTCCGGCCAGGCACCTTTCACCAATCCCTTCCGAGAGGGAAATGCGCGGCTGCAGTTGCCACCGCGCCCTGCTCTTACAGGACTGCCCGCGCCCAGAAAATCCTCCGCTGGAGTCAGACTGCGATAGGGAGTCAGTTCCTCGCTCACCTCGCCACCAGTCAGCCTTCCTTCCTGTCCGTCGCGTTTCTGACTCCGTTCCCAGACGCCCGTTCCCAGAGCTCGGCAGTCGCGTCTCTCCTTGCTGAGCCGCTGTGGAGGTAGCCGGCCGCCACGCGGCGGGAAATCCAAACCGCGGTTTCCAATGGCGCGGAGTCGAGCCTCCACACCGAGATTTTTCTGTTCCTATTTTAGCGCCAGGACTGTATTCCAAGTTGGATTCTCTCAGCCCAGTTCGTTCCTGAGTCAGCAGAGCATATCTCTACTGGTTCGTATCTCCTTAGTCCGCATCATTCCTGGCCTCTGAGCCGAGCCTTTAGAGAGCGTTCAGTAGTTGCTGTTGTCTGTCCGCCATGTTCTCCAGAGTCCCTATCAGTTATCATATTTCTTTTTCAATACTTTAGAAAGGAACTGGGATGACTACCAAGTTGAAGAGGAGTACAACAGTTATAGAAAAAATCTAAGGTAATTTGCATTTACTAGAGAAATATTTTGAAAGTTCAGAAATATTAGAACCAAAGAAACTACAAAAACTGAAACAATGTTCAAATTTCTTTAATCTCGCAAAATTTCTCCAAAGATTGATACATTTGAGTATCTAGAATCTAACAGTTGAATATTTGAAATATGTTAACATCTGAAATATGGAGTATTGATGTTGAGCTACAAGTTAGATTATAAAATATATATAAGAATAAACATTTTCCATCCTCAAGATTGTAAAACTTATATGAAAATGTGTATAGACATTAATCATGGATGTATATAAAATAATTGTGTTTAGGTTGAAAGCCAAGTGCAGGATATGAATCAGACAATTATGCAAATGATGCTATATCTATTTAAATTTACACATTCTTTATTTGAAAAATCGGTAAGCTTGAGGAAGTATTTAAAGTTTAATTTTAATTATAAAATCCAGATGAATGCCTCATATTTTGATAATTGCTGTTTTTAAGCCATCTTCCAGAGCATTCATTCTTTTTGTTTTTGAAGTATTAGAAGTCATCTTCTCATAAGTTTGGTAGAAGTGTCATTGTGATATAACATCTTTGAAAATGTGTATAGAGATTCCTCAAAAAGTAAATATAGAAATTCCATTTTATTCATGTATCATTTTACTGGGTTTATTTCCCAAAAGTTAAAATAATCATGTTATACTGACATGTATATCCACTTACAAAAGCAAAGATCCGGAAACAGCCTAGATTCCATTCACAGATAAGTAGAGAGAAAAAATAGGATAGCCTGGGAAGGATGGTGGATACATGAATTCCTAGCATATTGGAAAGCTGAGATATGAAGGCCAAAAACAAATCAGTAAAGCTACAGAGGAAATCAGATCAGCAATAATCTCTCAATAAAAAAGAAAGACAATAATAATGAAGTAATTTCTCAACATAGCTAGAGAAGACAAAATAAGAAAATATAAGAAGATAGGAAAATGGTAGAAACCCTCAATGAATAAAATAGGAAAGAAATAGAATGCATAAAATAGATTCAAAGAGATATCCATGAAATTAAAACTTCTGTTGAAAGCTGGCAAAACCACTTGATAGAAACTAAAGATAGACTTTCAGAGCTTGAAGACAGGATCACATTTAGCAATCATGCAAGGGAAGGTTTCTAAAAAATAACAGGACTATGAAATAATAATTCAAGAGCTCCAAGATGATACAAAGAAAAACAATATAATACTCATTGGTGTCAATGAAAAAGAAGTTAACAGAAACGACATAAAGTATTGACAGAAATTAATACCAGAAAATTTCTCAAGCATGGGAACAAAATCTGACATGTGAAGAATATAGAACTCCAAAGCCAAAACCACAATAAAACCACAACCAGATACATAATAATCACCATCCTAGGAGTTCAGCACATAAATAGAATATTAAAAGTGGTTAGAAAAAAGAAACATATCATATATAAAGGAAAACTCATTAGAATCATGGCCAACTTCTGAACATAAACCCTCCAAAAATATTTCAAATCCTGAAAAAACCCAGATTTATGTTCCCTGTGAAACTATCAAAATTAATGAAGAAATAATATACTTTCATGACAAAGAGTAACTGAAGAAATTCATCACCACAAAAACAAACCTACAGAGAGTACTTAAAGATATTCTAGATAGTGAAAAAATTGATCACAATTCCTAGAACAACAACAGTAAAAAAAACCACCAAGCAGGACAAGCAGTTAAACAAATGGGAACAGGGAACAAACAACAGGAAAATAATATGACAAAAATAAATCAATATATATCAGTTTTAACAATTAATGTAGATGGCCTCATTTCAGTCCAAAGGAATTCACTGCAGAGTGGATCAACAAGTGAATTCCAACAATATGCTGTATGCAAGAAAACTATTTAACTAAAAAATAAACAGACTGAAAGTCACAAGATGAAAAACTATACTCCTTGCCACAGAAACCCTGAAAAAAGCATCAGTAGCTATTCTATATGCAGACAAGGTGAACTTCAAGCCAGAAATAATCCAAAGAAAGAAAGATCACTACATACTTGTTAGGGGAAAATTCAAGAGAAAGAGATAATAATCATAATGTATATACACCACATATGGAAGCATCCAACTATATGTGACAATATTAACAAAAATGAAAAATCAAATAAGCAATAACAGTGGTAACAAGGGACTTGAAGATGTCATTGTCATACAGAGATAATAGAGATATTCAGAAAAGTCAGGAAAGAACAGAACTGAATCAAACTTGAACAAATAGACTTAGAAAACATTTTTTTGTCTTTTTCCTTTTTATCAGTACCAGGGATCGAACTCACGACTGTCTGCTTACAAGGCAGGCGCTTATGCCGTGGAGCTAAATCCCCAGCCCCTAGAAAACATTTATAGAATGTTCCATTCAACAGCATCAGAGTACACATTGTTCTCAGCAATCCATGGAACATCCTGTAAAATAGACCATATACGGTTGTACTCTACTCAAAAAACAGGGCCCCATGATGAAAAACGGGGCAAGACCCCAAGATGATAAATGGGGCAAGATGTCTTTTTTAAAAGAAGCGCTTTTATTTTAGCTGGCCCAGCGACGCAGTGCAGATGGAATTTGCAAAGCTGTGCAACTGAGTTAGAGTTTTGACTGATTTTTACAGTTCATTTATGATTAGCTCATTGATCATTAAGTACATAGTGATGAGAAACAGAAATAAGGTGGGCCTTTGTTCCCTTTTGCTTGATGTAAGAGGCATTTCACAGTGGGTGGTTAGCCAATTCATAGCACTTGGTCTGCCAATTCCAGGAACATTTGTCTCTCATGAAGGGAACAATGGTTGACACAGTATCATTTGTCTCTTACAAGGGGAACAAAAGTTGACATAGCACACAGATCACTAAGGTGGGGGGGTGACGCATTACAGAATAGCAGAACGACGTGGTTAGTTAATTTATAACTATGTGGTTGATGCTTGGTTACTAGGGTAATGAGCTCAGTACAGAATGACAATATTACTAATAACTATCTTTTTAAGTAACTATTTTTGTTAGTTATCTTTTAATCAATTATTTTAATTTTTAGCATACTAGCCCGCAGAACATGCTTTAGGAAATGGAAAGGAATTGAAAGTATCCCACATATTTTATCTGACCATAACAAAGTACAAAGAAATTGGAAAATAAAGGCAAAAGAAACTGCAAAACCTATAAGCACATGGAAAATAAATAACATCCTCCTGAACAACCAGTGGGTCACAGATGAAATTAAGGAAGAAATTAAACAATATCAAACAAAAATACAAATACAACATACCAGAGCCCATGGAACACAATGAAAGAAGTCCTAAGGGGTAAATCTATACCAGTGAACTTTCACATCAAGAAAGCAAAATGAGCACAAATAACCTAATACTGTACCTCAAGCTAAAAAAGAGAGAGAGAGAGAGAGAGAGAGAGAGAGAGAGAGAGAGAGAGAAAGAAAGAAAGAAAAAAAAAGCTCATAGAGGGGAGGAAATTATAATAATCACAACAGAAATTAATGCAATTGAGACTAAGAAAACAATACAAACTTTTAATGAATTGAGCTGGTTCTTTGAAACAATAATAAACCCCTTTACAACCTTATGAACAAAAGGAAAGAAAAAGCTCAAGTTCATACAATGAGAACTGAAATGGGTAAAATCACTACAGAGCCTGTGGAAATTCAGAAGATTATCAGTGCCTTCCTTGAACATCCTTACTTGAACAGGCTTGAAAACACAGCAGAAATGGACAGATTCCTAGAAATGTATGAACTACCAAAGCTGAATCAAGAGGTTATAAAAATATCAAATAACCCAGTATCAGTTAGTGAAATTGGGAATTTATTTAAAAACTGTTATGCTTTGTGTCTGGATGTGCCCTCAAAGCATCACATAATCATGGTTGCAGGCTTCTTGAATATATGATTGATTCAGGGTCCACTGATGGGATTATGGGTGTGACTGCTACATTCACCCTAGAGTGGGTAGCCTACATACAATATAAGAGACAGTCTTATCTCCATGCTTCTTTTGTTGTGTTGGTGATCTTTGTGCTGTTTTCTGACACCATGAGCTGTTGTTGCTCTGTGATATGTGCTACTCTACTTTGGAGACAGCCAAGTAAAGACTTAAACTTCCACAAACTGAGCTAAATAAACCTATTCTTCTTTAATGTTGGACATTGGGTATTTTGTCTCAGCAATGAGACAAAATAACCAAAACACAAATTTACCAACAAAGAGAAACCCATGTCCTCAGGGATTCATAGCTGTGTTTTGTAAGATATCTATAGAAGATTTAACACCAATACTCCTCAAACTCTTTAATAAACTTGAAAAAGAAGCAGTTCTCCCTAACTCATTCCTGGAGGGAGGTATTCCTTTACACAAACAAGATTCACTGAAGAAATTATGGAAATCATCACTTTCAAGCTAGCATCCCAAAACTTATATATTTGGGGATGAATCTAACAAAGGATGTAAAAGATATATATATTAAAAATTATAGTACTATGATATGGATATTGAAGAGGATTTCAGAAAGTGGAGATATCCCTTGCTCTTAGGTAGGAAGAACCAACATTGAGAAAATGGCCATACTCTAAAAACTGATACATAGTTTTAATGGAACCTGAATCAAAATACCATTAGCATATCTCACAGATCTACAGAAAACATTCCTAAAATTCATTTGAAAATAGAGACCTAGAATACCAATGGCAGTCCTTGGCACCAAAGGCAAAGTAAGAGGCAGCATAATCTCTGATTTGAAATTATACTACAAAGGTACTGTGATAAAGTCAGCATGGTAGTGGCAGAAAAACAGATCTGAAGATCAGTGGAACAGATTAGAAGATGCAGACACAACTAAAGTTAAAGTTGGCTACTTTTCTTTGACAAAAGCACCAAACATGTTCACAGAAAAATAAATAGCCTCTTTAATAAGTGGTGCTGGAAAAATTGTCTTTCACAATGCACTAAAATAAATTCAAAATGGATTAAAGATCTAAATTTTAAAATAGAAATCAACTGGAAGATAAGGTAGATAGAAGACTTGAAGACATAGGAGTAGGCAGAGAATTCATAAACAGAGCACAAACTGCATGGAAAGTGTTTCAAAGAACAGCGAGATCTCATCAAGTGATGTTCAACAGAGGAAAAAAATAACCCTCAGCATAGTAAAAAAAAAAATTAGCTGTTCCTCAGACAAAGAACTTCTATCTAGAATGTACAAATAATTGAAAAATTCAGGCCCTCCCACATTCAAAAACCCAATCCAAAAGGGACATCTAAGATGAATATGTACAAATAGAAAATAAATATATTAAAAATATGTTCCACATCATTTGTCATTCAAGAAATGCAAATTAAAACAACACTGAGATTTCTTCTCATACCAGAAAGTAGGTATCATCAAGAAATCAACCAATAACAAATACCAGTGGGGCTGTTTGGTGGACAAATAAATTGTTCTTCACTGTTGGTGGGAGTATAGACTGGAAAAACCACTGTGGAAATCAAGGTGCAGATTCCTAAAATATCTCGGCTTAAAGGTCCCATTTATTCCCAGTTATTCCACTTCTGGGTATTTTCTCAAAAGACTTGAAAACATCATACCAGGGTGATGTATATGCACCTATCTTTATAGCAGCATAATTTATAATAGCTACATCTTAGAAACAACCCAAATGCCCATCAACCACTGAATGGAAGCAAAGTAATGTTTTTATACAATGGAATATTATTCACCTATAAATAAGGATAAACCCAAGATTTAAAAGGTAAATTGATGCAACTTGAGGTCATACTCATAAGTGAAATAAATGAGACTTACATATGTAAACATTGTATATTCTCCCTAGTATAGAAAAAAGAGTAAATTGAATCCAAAATGTAAAATAGATATTGTGAAAATGGAAGAAACTGCTCAAGAGGTAAGAACAACTGAGATGAGGGAAAGTAGGAAGGACAAAAGAAAGTTATCTCCAAGATAATTAATTATACTACTAATCTATATTAGTTCATCAAAAAGAGTGGTTTGTACCTTCATTGTTTGATCATTTTTTCATGTGTATATCTTACAATCGGAGCAACTATTTTGAAGATACCGATACACAATATATGAACCATTGTTAATCTCCAATTATTTTGTTTTGAAATTGTTTCTTTTTTATGTTTCATTAAAACTTCATACTCCAACTCAGCAACTTAATATTAATGAAATTCTATATCATGGTAAAAGATACATAACTCTGAGAATGTAGCTCAACACAAAACCTCTTGGTTAATTCTGTAACACTGAAAATAATGTGGTGTGTATGTATGATGGACTATAAGGTTACGTGAAACTTTGTCACTTGCCAAAAAAAAAAAAAAAAAGGATGGATATGGAACCCATATTGCATTAAATGACAAGGACACAGAACATTTAATATTACATGTTACATTTTGTATGAGAAATGCAAAATGTTAATAAGTAAAATAAAAGAGAAAAGGTAAAAAAGTGAGGCAAATATTTTGAAGAGGATAAAGAGACTCAGTGGAAGGGGCAGAAGTAGAATCACAGAGGAAAAGTGTATCAAATGTAGTCTGTCATATAAGTATATACCAGTCACCCAAAAATAGTATTATATATTGCAAACCTTACAATATTTCAATTATAAATACCAAATTAATGCTGTTTTGTCAAAAGCTATTTACAAGCAGTCATTTAGAGTATACAGTAAATTCATGATATTATTTTCTTAGGAGAATCAAAATAGACCTCTTCCTGGTAAACCCTTAATATAAAGATACTTTCATTGTGATTGGTTGTGATTTGTTATTTGTTTCTTTGACAGAAATGAAGACTTAAAGAAATGCCATCAACATAAATTATTTGATCAATATAGGGAAATGGTTTTTATGACTTCCAATCATAATGTGCACATGAAACTTCTTTGTACAAAACCAGATGAAAGTGTTGCTCATGGAAAGCTTTGGATTGGTCATTCATCACCACTTACGTCCATCATTGTTAACACAGGACTTAAATCATGTAAGTACCATGGATTTGAACTGAACTGCCACAGAAATGGGAAAACCTACACTGACTTCCAGTCCTTTCAGGATGACGCAAAGTCAAACCTTGGAAAGAATTTATGTGAATATAGAGAACATGAAAAATCTTACTCTGATCAGACTGAAGAAAGAAACCTTGAAGAAGAACCCTTTTTCTATAAGACGGATATGAAAGCTTTCCATACACTCAACCATGTTCAAATCCATGAAGGAAATCACAGCATGGTGAATACCTATGTATCTATACAATGTGGAAAAGATTTTACTTCTCTCAATGATATTCAAAAACATGAAAGAACACACAGTGGAGAAAAATCCAGTTTATATACAGACTGTGGAAAATCCTTCAAATCATTTGATAGTCATGAAAGTACCGACATTGGCAGAAAACCCCATGTATGTAAGCAATGTGGAAAAGCTTTCAGCCAACACAGTCATTGTCAGATTCGTGAACGAACTCAAAGTGGTGAGAAGCCCTATGTATGTAAGCAATGTGGGAAAGCTTTCAGCACACGTAGTGATTGTCAAAAGCATGAAAGGACTCACACTGGGGAAAAACCCTATGTATGCAAGCAATGTGGGAAGGCTTTTACTTCTCGCTGTTCTTGTGAAAGACATAAACGAACCCACACTGGGGAAAAACCCTATGTATGCAAGCAGTGTGGGAAAGCTTTCAGCACGAATAGTCATTGTCGAACACATGAAAGAATTCACATTGGTGAGAAACCCTATGTATGTATGCAGTGTGGGAACGCTTTCAGTCAACACACTCATTGTCAAATTCATGAATGAACTCACACTGGGGAGAAACCCTATGTATGTAAGCAATGTGGGAAAGCTTTCAGCACACGTGGTGACTGTCAAAAACATGAAAGAACACACACTGGGGAGAAACCTTATGTGTGCAAGCAATGTGGGAAGGCTTTCACTTCTCACTGTTCTTGTGAAAGACATAAATGGACTCACACTGGGGAGAAACCATATGTATGTGAGCAATGTGGGAAGGCTTTCAGCACAAACAGTCACTGTTGAACTCAGGAAAGAGTTCACACTGGTGAGAAACCCTATATATGTAAACTTTGTGGTAAAGCTTTCAGCACACATAGTGGTTGTCAAGTACATGAAAAGAATCACATAGGTTAGAAACTCTTATGTGAATAAGCAATATGGAAAAGCCTTCACTTAAGCAATCAATATAGATACTAAAATTCAAGAAACTAATTTTGAATATATAAAGTGATCTGCACTGACATGAAAGGACAGTGAAGAGAAGCTATTTCTTTGTATGCAATATAAAAAATCTTAAAAAGTACACATGTACCATCACACACCTTAAGAAATTCTTAGAAGATAAAATCTGAACATAAACAATTTGGGATATGATTTATTTTTCTTGTTTCATTTTAGCTCTACAACACAGTCTTCAAATGAGAGAAAAATTTTATATAGATAGATGATAAATAGATGGATAAATAGAAAATGAATGTGGGAAACTCTTTAATTTTTCCACTTAGCTAGAAAACTATAGAACTCCCCCATGAAGTGAAAGTCTTTCTAATTAGTGTGGAAAACATTTTATGAGTCTTGTCATAAAGCATGCACAAACAAAATGAAAGATAGTACAAATATAGAAAATGAGAAAACCAAGAATCAGACAGGACTGTTAGTAATGAGCTACACTGTTTTAAGTAACAAACTCAGGGACATTCTTACTCCCTTATTTCTGTATTAATAGACAAGTGAGGTCAGAAAGTGCATTATTATGTTAAATTTAGAACAGCAAAACACCCTGTACCCAAATCATCACTACCCTGCCTTAAACATTTTACAAGCAAACCATGGCCTTAGAATGATAATACCAAATTTATTCATACACTGAAATTTTATTGAGGCTTAAAAGAAATTCCACATTTGTGACAATGTACATTAGCCAAGAGATCATTGTATGAAATATGCAATGCATAAACAAAGCTTGATTATGCTAGTTTTTAGCATTTAAAATTGATAACTATAGAGAAGCATAGAAGATAATGATGGTTGCAAATAGTGGAGTTGGAGAAACTGAGAGATGTTAATGAGAAAGTACAATGCTTCTCTCATAGAAAACAAAAAAATGGTGGCATACATCTCCATGACTACAGTAGGTAATGCAGTGTCACATAGAATTACAATTTGCTAAAGTTTTTAGGGTGAATGATTTCAGTATAAACATTTGCACATTTTAATTGTTCTAAGGAACTTTTGGGGTGCAGGTTTGAGTGACTGGTTTTAATGATGGAGCACATTGATCTAGAGAAGTTTTTAAGTGTCTCAAATTTTCATAACAGGATTTATTGGAGGGAAGCTAAAATGTATGCATATATTATAATATGGTACTAAATCTAACAGAGTGTTACTAATTTGAAAGCTCTGACTTCAGCCAGTTGGAAATCCACATAACAAGGATGTCTGCAAACTTTCCACAGTTCTAGAGATTAAAATCTCCGTGGTGTCAATGCCCATTTAGTGGACTGTTGGCAGCAGGTTACTTGACAAAAGGATCCAATCTTTTGGTGTGAATTTCATTTACTTAAACTCTCATATCTCATAAATGTATCCAGTATTCAAAATAATAACATGGTTGAGTAAAAAGAACTAATGCAACCTGGAAATAATAAAAAGGGTTTTTTTCATGAGTGACTCTGCAGAGACTTTAATTGTTGTGTATCTTAGCAGAAAGTGAATACAATGCAATATATGCTTTGATTATTAAGGTATCTTTATAAAGTCATCAAAAGATATAAGTAATGTATTGAAAATAGAGAAGGAGTAGTAACTTGGAGAGGAAACTGGTGGAGTCAATTCAATGCACCTGTTTGTTAGTCTATTTTTGTGCAGTTTAGCTCACTCCTATACTTATTTTGTATTCCTCAGGTCTTTGTACCCTTATTGAGTCATTCTGTTTTCACCTGGAATAGAAGTGTACTGTTGTTATTCATGGCATATCTGAGAGAATATCTCAAAACTCCTTGCATATACAATTGACAGTAAAATGACAGGTTTAAAAGACAGCTTTTTCTTTTCCTTTAGTGATGAGGGCTGCTAACTTCTTCCTTCTGAACACATAAGCATTTACCTCTTCTCAGCCCCAAGCAAGTGACAAAGTGTGTAAATGCTGGTTTCAGAGTTCCAGAGATAAGTTTTCTTCCCACTAGAAAATGTGAATGATCTGAGTAATGTACAGATGGATAAAAATAAAGCAAGTGTTAGGATATATATTGATGAATAATTTCATATCTCCACATTATCACTTTGTGTTTCTTACTATAACATAGACACACTGCCATATAATGAGATTGTGGTTTGGGCAAATTGACTCTGGGCTCTATCTCTTTACAGCTAGCTTTAGATGAATCCCTCCCTCCTCCAATATGACCTCCTTTGATTTGACAGTGAACACACAAACTGGAACATTTTAAACTAAGTGACTGGTAATATATTTGCTTTACCTAATCAGGAGACAATCCAGGCTCCAGATTCCAGAAAGACAGGATTATACTTGACAATAGGCTTTATATAACTCACATTTGGAGCCCTTTTGTTTAAATGTCTGATAATCTTTAAATTTGGTAAGAAGGGTTTTACAGTAATTTTTCTGTCAGTCATTTCTGTCAGGACTGGCCTGAGATGCTTGGGCTGCCCACTATATATAGTAAACTCCCCAGTATTAACAATGGCTTGGCAAACAAGGAGTAAGAAGAGTAAAGATATTTTAGGACCAGACTTGACATCTTCCTGGCATTTGTTCTATCTACATACACCTGGGCTGATTGCCTCCAGATAATTGCTGCTGTCACTTTGATGTTAGTGTGCCTGTAGGTAGGCTGAACAAAATTTCATCTTTCGTACTGCCTCTGTCTCTAGCTGCTGCCTCTGCCATTAATCTAACATATGGTGCTGTGACTTGGATGGTAATAGGAAGCTCTTTTTGAGAAGGAATTTCTTATTGTGAGCCTTTTCCACTGAGGCTACTCAGTAACAGTGATTTTAGACCTTTCCCAGTGTTCCAGGTATCTCCCCAGTCCTGCCGTGCTGATTGCTTCAGATTGTTTAAACTCACTCCATTTTCCTAGCTTCTAATACTTTGTACCTTATGACTCTCCCATACACTTTTGTTCACTGCTGCAGCCACAACCACAGCATTTAACCACACCTGTCAGCTATTCTCTAGTTTTGCTCTCCTTTTCTCACCACTTGGAATATAGACTCACTCCTCTCTGCCTGTGAACCTAGCATTAATTATGGGTGGATGCTTCCCAAGGAAACCGGCACCCTTGGTGATTAGTCAGTTGAAGTGATTACCCACTTGCCCCTTCACCCATGTTCCTAACAGCCTTGACTTTAACTGAACATGTTCAGTATAGGCCCTCTTGCCACTATTGTTTTGCTGCACCAGGTGTGGTAATTACCTTTCTCTGCTCTAGATGGGAAATTCTTCCATTTTTTCTCCCTCATCCCGCCTCCAAAATGAATTGAAACCTGAGCATCTAATATCTCAGTGACACTAGGTGACCAAAGAATGGGACTTTTGATCCCTCTATTTGCATAGTTAGACAACTACTGCCAAAAGCTAAACAAAAAATCCCTACCTTCAAGAGTTATTTACCTTCTCTAATATTCCTACTTTGCATACCTCATACAATCTCTTAAATTCTTCTGTATCCCATTTCAGGTCTTTTATCTGTTACAGCCCCCTTTTCACCCTCAATTTCACTCCAAAACAAGGAGGACATCAAGTTTTACCAAGATTCCTTAAAAAAGATATTATTTGAGCTCAAAAAAATTTTTTTTTGTTTTTGTCTTTTTAGATTTTTAAAACATTTATCTGTAAATGAAACTGGTTTACAGATGTCCTCAAAATTAAAGATGTTTAATTGGCCAGTTATTGGCCAGTCAAAACGATGTTAAAATTACTTTTATAAGTATGATATATCTTGTCTGTGTACAATAATTCTAGTCTTTCATTTTTATTAAGTGTTAAGATCTGGCTCATAGATCATTAACACTTTGTTAAGATAAATAGGAATTCTACACTTGAGAAAACTGTTAGGACTCTCCTTGGTGAATAAAGAAGGAGCCATCTGGAAATATTTCTCCAATCCTTTTCCACTACGAATACCCCAATAATCTCCATAATCTTGTAAGAGACACCTCAAGAAACATTGGTAAATATATTGTAATTTGTTTACATTGGTTATTGTCAAGTTGTTTTCTAAGAATAAGACAATACATTTTCTGATTTAAAGATGCTCTTGGTACAAAACTAAATTAAGAAACAAGAATCTTCATATAGCTATGGCAATCATTATTGCCAATCTCATGGTTTATTAAATATATTCATGCCTTTCAAATGTATAGGTCTAAGATATAAAAAGGATTGTTGATGGTGATAACCATTTTCTTTTAGACTCAGATATTTCGCTTTCTTTTGTGCTTCAGCTATTTATAAGAAATGTGTGTCAAACCAACATAAGATGACCTGTGAAAAATAATTTTTGAAGGATTCTCTGATGTTTTGGCTATACAAATGTTACCACACTTACAGATGCTTGGACAGTGCACAGTCCAGGCAATGTCACAAACTTCAATGACATTCTGTTAAAGCATAACACAGTAAATGAGAGCATCTTTGTGTCATTTAATGTCTAGTGATCAGAAAGAGATGTTTGACTAAAAAAGCTGTTCTATGTTAAAATGCACACTTTTATTGACTGTGTTAGAAAAATAATACCCTGATTGTCATGCTGAAATATTATGTGTGACTTTTGATCTCGTTTTCTTTGTAAAACTATGTAACTCTTGTCTGTTAACATTCTACAAGGATTCAACTATTAGAACAACCATTGCTGATAAGAAATAACTTTCCTTTGATTATATTTTACATTTTAAAGTACATGATATTTAAGTAAAAGTATTATAGTTAAATTCAGAGCTCCTAATTCAATAGTAATGTCACTGATCTCTTCTGGGTATTCAACAACTGAAGTTTAGAGGCCAGAACTAGAAAGGTAA